AGCAGACGGGTTGGCAACCGCAGTTAGTCTTTCAAAGATGTTTTAAGAGGGACGCTGCTGCCCATCCCTCGCCCTCTTTAGTCACCTCTTACGACACCCACGGGAAAAGAAGGGATGGCCCATTCTATGCCGGGGTGGGTACACACAGCGAAAAAAACGAAAAACGGAGATGGAAATTAATGTGATTATTTAGATGCACTATAATAATTTACCTGGGCTACTTCGTGCAGCTACAAGTACACTGATGTAGCGATATCACGTCTCAGGTTCCGAGGCAGAACTAGTTTTTCCTACTTACTCATTACCCCACATCACACAATTGTGTCCCTACACTGAGAGCTCCGACATGCAACACCGACCGTGTCTTTATTTGCTGCGTTTGCAGACTGCACACTAGATTACAACATAACGAAGGGTTTGAAACATCTCGATTGAACGTCTTGTATTTTTTTAATTCAATCGCTTCACATTTTATTTTTATTATCATAAAAATATATTATAAAATTTCTTTGAAACCCCACTGTACGTGACCATTTAGGTTCAAGCATGTGAGGATGAATTCGCATGCCTTAAACATGATGAATGCCTGTCGATGGCGAGCGGTATGATGATAAAAGTTCTATACTATTCTTGAATAGAAACTTTGCTCCATGGAGAAGTTCGAAGATTCGTAGACGATGATACTCTATCCAGTGGTTTGTAACCGCATCAGGACTTTAACAGGGCTCAACTCACAAAATGTAATTGGAGATACACAATTCCGCGTTCTATATTCAAATTCAGATTCTAATATATAAAATGATAAATAACGTGATGCTTCGTGAACTCATTATATTTAAAATTTTAATTTAGAATTCAATACAAGCAGAAAGCAAGAAGGAAAAACTCTGCAAAAAGAGAGCGGTTTCAATCACAATGTTGGGAAGCACTCTAATGCACGAGATTACACTTGGCTATCCACTAAAAGATTTGTTCATTATAAAAAAAAAAAAGGAAAATATCATTCAAATAAAATTTCACAACGTAATTTTATATAATCTCAACGGTATTAAAATCCCGAAAGTTAATGAAATGTCATTCACAATAAGTAAGAATAATACAGGGATTACGTAAGTCTCTCAACTAAAGTAGTGATTCATTCGTTTGGCTCACGTTAAACCCGAAAAAGGATTTTGTGAATCTAATAGGATTACAAGTATTAATGTGAAGGTTCAAATTTCGAGTATATAGTAATTTGACCGGTTAGGTACTTTATTAATTCATTTCTAAAAAGAGGAGGGTCTGTATTTGATTTGCTGTATTGGATTGGTTATATTGCTTTGAAAATTCGATAATTATTTTTGCAAATAATATTTACTCTCATATTAGTTTAGTATTAAATTTGCGATTATTGATTTTTCATTGCATAGAAAAAAAAAACCGTTTATTTCGAAGTAAAATATATAGTTAGTTATATTCACAGACAAACAAATTCTCATTCCAAATTCAAATATTTTTAATCCAATCTGTTTACGAATCATCTCGTCATTCACTAATGTGTTTTGTTATGCTTGGCATCGCTTTTTTGCAGGTTGAATATATTTTTAGATTAAGAACGCGGAAATCGTTGTTTACAATAAGAATTTGAAGTAAATTGAAAATAATTTGTAGTATATATAACAGTGTAGTCATTACCAAAATTAATTTGGAATCAATATAGGTATAAAATCTTTTGATGATAAATATAACTAAGTCATAAGTTTTAAGCGACTTTCAAAAAGCACAAATTATATTGTAATCTATTTGAGATATAATGCTACGTGCCATAAAAATATTGCAGCTTTTAGATCATCGAATTTTTCAAGCGAAATAAATTTTATAAAAGATTAGCTATGACATGCAGCTCCGCCCATACGAATTAGGATAAAAGCATCAAGTTAATATTTTTAGAACGCGATCCATCAGTAGGTACGTGCACTTAATTTAATTTGAATTGGTTATGCTGCGTGAATAAATAATAAACATCTTTTTTTATATTACTTAAAATGACAAACAAACTGACGGCTTATCTGATGGCAAGCGGTAACCGTCGCCTACAGACATGAACAGTGCCGTGGACATAATAGAGTATACTGTTTAGCCCATGATACCCCCAAGTGTTATTCCTCTGTACCCTGAAAATTACAATAAATGTACATATCGTATCGGTGTCGATACGAGTATTACGGTAGCGGTATATAATGTATCTCCTGTACTGTATAATTATATTACCACATCGGTATGTGCCCGCGAGACTTTCTATTGACACTATGATACGATGAATATTTAAATCGTGGAAGGCTTGCAGCGATAAAAATGAGACGGGAAACATGGCGTTGCGGGTGCGAAAGGTGGCGCTCTGGATTTTTTAAATTTTTAATTGCCAGCTGCGGCATATTATACTGCACAACACATACAGGGTTAATGTCCTTGTTTTCCAATTAAATATTACCGTGTCTCTGTCCATGTGGTAATCTTTTCGGTCTCATCTAATATTTATATCATTGTATACGCTTATGTTTAGATTCTGATCTAGCTTATTAGTAATAGAAGCAAGGTCACTTTGTACTTACAAATAAATGTTCCTTACATTATTATTCATGTGGCAATAATTTTGATATCGTGTAATTTTATTCATTTATTCATTTCAGACATTAACTGTCCGCTTCTGAACATATGCATCGTCCATAGACTACCATAGACTAAATGAACTTGAATTACATAGAAATCGCTTAGATTTGTTCAATCTATATTATTAGTAATATTACCTATATGGTAGAATATAAACAGAGTTAATCTGTACCTACTTGTTTCACAATTAAATAATACCTTATCTATATCCGTATGCTAATATTTCTGATATTAGTAAAAATTTGAAATAAAATTGAAAACTATCTAAATAGATAGGTTATTCATATACAGTCTAGGTTATTAGTAACATTATACGGTAAAGTAAATAAAGGATTACTGTATACTTCTTTTATTAACGAGTAAATATTACCGTTTTTCTGTCACCATATGGACAGTTTTTTTTTTTTTTTTTTTTATCTCAATTCTCGATAAAATTCAATAAATTCTAATGAAATAATGACGTTTAAACAAAATAGTTTATTAAGCATAATAAGTGAGCTACATAATGAATTGATTGTTTCATCAGACCACGCGGAAAGGTCGTGACAAATTGTGGGGTAACTAGGGAAGGCATGATATATTATTGTAATTACTCAAATATAAATTGATATAATATAATTGGTGCTTTAAACGGTAAACGCTTCTTTGAGAGAGCAAACCTGAAGTTACTGGGGCTTTGTACAGATTCTATAGATAAATATCAGTTACCAAAGCTATTAAAATAAGTAATTAGTTTCACAATATTTTAAAATGCAGAGATGGGTAGAATATTTTAAGCAAAGTGTTAAGGAAATGGACGGCTATGAAGGTAGAGGAAGACCTAAAACGACACATTTGAACTGTTTGAAAGATGATATGGCCAGAATGGATGTAAATGCGGAAATGAGTGCGAATAGAGACGAATGAAAGTCGAAAATATATTACGCCCACACGAAATAATTAAGATAAGAACGGGAAGATAATAATGCCGTTATTTTATTCTTTATTGCACAATAAAACTTTGTACAAGTGGCGAGCTTATTGCCATATGGGATTGTCTACCAGTTAACCATTAGGTAAAAACAGAAACCGTATGAAGAGCAGGTTTGTTTAAAAAATGTATCATAATTTCTCTTGCGTTAAATATGTTGATATTAGAAAATGTCGTTGGGAAAATTGTTGTTGAAAAACCAATTAATACTATTTGCTTTTTTTGGTACAATTGTAAACATACTTAACTTGAATAGCAGAAAGAAACAGATAGGTTTAATCCCATTTCGAACTGTCAGAAGGCAAAAGTTTTCAACCATTGATTTAATAAATTGTTTCTGATATTTTGGACACACATAAAGGATTTCATTCACAATAAAAATAACCTACAGGTTTATTCTTTGCTCGTATATAAAGACTAAAAGTTTTGCTTTTAAAGACAAAGTAATCCAGACTTAACAATGCGCTATTTGTTCAAAGAAGACTATAATGGATTATTCGTGTTCATATTTACTTTCTGTAAATTATGGCTGTGTGTATTTCTAAATCTTGTTGACGCTGACGATTCGGATTTGAATTTACAACAATAGTTAATACAAACTTATTTCTAGATATTGCAACGACGCTTTTAGTAAAATAAAATATCTCTCAAAAGAACCCAAAAATATTTATTTCATTTACTGAATACTACATTTAGTAAATTACAAAGGTAATAAAATATCTCAGAAACAATTTTGTTTTAAGGAGAAAATTATATCATTTCATATCTCCGGTAATATTATTCATTATTCAGCAGACTGGTAGTATGGTGCTATTTTTCGTTGGGGACACAGAAAAGGCCTGTGTATACAAAGATTCGAGATAGTAGCAATAAGGCTTGAACAAACAATCGTAGGAGAAATAAAATGGGTCAGACGTTCGATACACATAAATAATGCAATAGCATACATAATATACACAACATTTTGGGAAAATGTAAAGTTCAACATATACAGTGACATGACCAATTGGTAGACACTTAAAGCAAAACGTGAGACGCCAGTCGAAATTAAAATAAATAAAAACAAACATTTCCAACCCTCGTCACTGTCCAAATACCTAGGTACTTTTAATTTGCCACTCCGTTAAATTGCGATGTTACGAATCTTGTAATTCTGATACGATTTTCGCAATGTTTCTTTCAAATGGTTTCAGTTTAACAATGGAATTGACGAAATATCATCGATAATATATAACAATACAATGATATAGATTTTTACACAATATTGGACAGAGTATAATATAATAAAATGTCTGTCTTTTTCCACGTATGCAGTAGACATTGATTCATGTTGATGATAATTTCTTTGGCATTTATTAATTTGTATATTCTTTTGTTTCAGATAATGGTCCGGATCTCCAATGAAATATTAATGCCCTGAGGCAATATGAAAGTAAAAAGGAGTCTAGACGTGCGGCTAATAGCCTTGTGCACAACTTGCATACTGTTGCCAGCTATAGCATGCCCATCTCAATGTGTATGTAAGTGGAAGAACGGAAAACGATACGTGGAATGTATAGAAAAAGAATTAAAGGCGATCCCGAACGCGCTAGACTCCGAAACTCAAGTACTAGACTTCTCGGGTAACGATCTTCAAGTGTTACAAAAAGAAACATTTTTAAAACTTGGATTACTCGATTTGCAAAAGATTTATCTTCAAAGATGTAAAATACAGAAAATAGATAATCACGCTTTCAAAAGTCTCGCCAATCTAGTTGAATTGGATTTATCGAATAATTATTTAACTGTCATACCATCGACGAACTTTATTTATTTCCCATCTCTAATGAGATTGTCGCTGAACAACAATCCTGTGACAAGTATAAAAACCCACTGCTTCCAACATCTGCCCTATTTGAATACATTAGAATTGAGTGATTGCGAGATCGAAGTCATAGAAAGAGAGGCCTTCTCAGGGCTACATCATTTGGAGTGGTTACGATTGAATGGTAATAGATTATCAAACATTCAAGGCGAGAATTTATTTCCAGATACATTGCGAGGAATCGACTTGCAAAATAATAATTGGAACTGCGACTGCCATTTGAGAGATTTACATAGTTGGTTGTTGAATTTCAATATGCCCCATGCCGTCGAGCCAATTTGCTCTCTTCCTGAACGGCTAAGGAAACGTACAATAGCAAGTGTTCCTGAAGTCGAATTAGCTTGCTTACCGAAAATGACTCCTACGTCAGTGTTTTTAGATACGAATATGGGTAGTAATATTACTCTGGAGTGTTTGGTTAAAGCTATACCTGAAGCAAAAGTAACATGGCTTTATCAAGGGCAAATCATTCACAACTATACTAGTATGTCGACTGACGCTCGTGATGTATACTTTATCGAAAATGGTGTCATGGACAAAAAGAGCGAGCTATACATATTCAATATTGGTACTGACGACAATGGAACCTATTCATGCGTAGCAGAAAATCCGGCGGGAAAATCACGTGCCAATTATACGCTTAGAGTTATAGTGAAAGAGGAACCCGTGGTTATTGTTGTTACATTTCCTCAACGACATTTAGTAGTTATAGTCACAATAGTGTTTCTTATTATTGTTTTATTAATAGCTATAATAGCTGTAGTTTTATTGAAATTCAAAACAGATACTAAGAGTCGTAAAAAGAAAGAGAGCGGTAAAGATGTGGCTCTATGCAATCAAATTTTACCTTCAAGCCGGAGTAATGGTACATTACCTAAAAACAATGGCAGTCTGATTGTAAATGCACATTCCCACCATGCTCTGCACTACACAGTGCAGACAAATCGTGATTACGAGTCTAGCGACGTGTATCAAAGCAATAACATGAAAGGCTTTGTCGACAGGAATCCTGACCTAATTAGCGACGCGGAAACAGTCGCTAACAATGCTCAAAATGAGAACACAGTGTTATCTGTGTACAAAGCGCAAACCGCGAATGGCGAGGGTTTTGAAGAGGAAACCGCATTCACCGCTCCAACAATACCCCGACAGGTTACGTGGCAGGATCAGCAGAATTTAAATAATGTGAATCTACCGCAGAATGCGTTAAATAACATGTATCAACATTCCGCCGATGTTCATTTGAACCCTGGATGCTTTTTAGATAGCGATGGTTATCCTTATGATTACGGGCTTCCCAAACATCCATGTCGGCCCCCAATGATGACTAACTACTCAGTCGTTGGTCCATTTTACCAAACATTACCGCACAATAGATCAAAAGGGCAAAAGCTCGTATGCAAATTCGCTAAAGACACAGAATTCAACGTGACACCACCTACGTGCCCAAATTTCGAATTGTTTAACGCGACAAACGTGAGACGTACTTTGGACGGGTATCCGGTGCCACGGAACCGACAAATCGCTTTTGTTGGTAATGGAACAGTGTACTATAATGAGGAGTTTGTTCCGTCCCCGCCGGAGGGTTACAAAACAGAGCCTACTGTTCAGTGTTGTGCTCCAGCGGAGTCTTGTTCATCTTGGGTCAGTCCTAAAGGAACATGTGCAGTGATGGTTCCCGTCGGAGTAGCGGAAGCTCCTGGACGGTGTTATCAAGTGGAAACACGGTGTGTTGATACACAAACCACAGACGCTCGTATGCCCGGCGAGGGCACTGAAAATGTTTTAAAGCCTTTACCACAAGTGTCGAACGCTAAATGTGCAGCTGATATCTGTTCAGAGAGCCCCGACGAGGGTTACGTGGGTGATGCTAACGACATCTGACGACGTCGTCACAACGATAATGCGTAAACAGGGCAATCTAGACGCTAATAAAGTGATAAAGCGACTGAATATAAGTAGAATTGTACATAGAATTGAACACTTTGACAGTGAACGAAGCGTGAAAATGTTTTCAGATACGTCTGTATGTGATACTACAAATGTCTTTGAATTAAACGTATATCAATATGATTACTTTTATACGTATATTTTACGCTTCGTGTACTGTTAATTTTTTTTTATATAGTGACTAACCAAATATCATTCCAAATTGTTTCTAGTCAAAACTTCAGAGCGGCTGTGTTTTTCAACTAACTTACCTCTAATATATTCTAATACTTTCTACATTTAGCATACTGAGTTTACATTTTGAAGCAATCTTACTCGTAGGACCAAGTTCTGTTTGCGAACTTTACAAACATACACAAGTTGATTCCACATGTAACAGGAAGTGGGACATGTCCCGAATTGTAAATGAATGCGCATTTCCTTATGTTGATCTGTCAAACTACTGTTTAGAATGTCATAAGTATAAGTACACTTAATCAAAATGTCTTTTGTTCCGTCGTATATATAATCCTTTGTCTTTTAAAGAAACACAAATGGGTCTAGTTTTTAAAAAAATCACGATAAATACTGAAAATTAAAATAGGCATATTATTTATTTATTTATAGGATCACCAACATAAGACACAGCAAAGCATTTTCATACAATACACGCTAGTGTATTATATAGTGACAACCACAGCATGCTTTGTGTTTGTAAAACATTAAAATATTAAATAAATAAAGGTTATCAAACGAATAAATATATTAATAGTATATACATATGATGGAACATGTATTATAAATAGTTATTGATTTCTTCATACTAACATATATGTGTACGTATGTATATAAACCATATTGGTAATATTTTTATGTATGGCCCGTAAGTAATTTGTTAATTCACTAATTACAAATTTTATTTTTGGTCTCACATAGAAAAATAATCAAGCATTGGGACCAAACAACAAATGCGTAATTTCCCAGAAAGAAACATTTTACATACATACATACATATCTGTCACGCCTGTCTCCCATTAGGGTAGGCAGAAACAATGGAACGTCAAATGCTTCGATTCAAACAAACCTCTTTCGTTTCTTCCACATTCATTAATCTTGTCATACACGCTCGTCGGTTACGGGTACTTTTAATTTGGCCCTTCTTCAGCACGTCGCCTATTTGGTCGACATACGTCCGTCTAGGGCGGCCCCTACCGCTAAATATATAAACCCCTAAATAAACAATATTTATTAGGAAATGTAAAAAAAAAACCATAATGCTTCGAATCTGATGATTACTAGATCATGACTGTAGACTGAAAAAAGTAAAAACTCTTTTAAAAATTTTGTAACTACATTACTATACGAGTAAATATGAAATATTGTTTACGTTACTGTTAAAAAATATTAGAAATATTAAAAAAAAAAATATTGCTTAATTTATATTTTACTTTTTAAAAAGCGTATAAACAAACTGAATTCTTACTCAAGTAAGTTGAAAAATACAGTCGCAAATGATTTCATACATCATTATTATGAATTGTTTAGCAACTCTGTTTTACATATGTTATTGTTTTTACACTAACATATTTATAATTTTTAATATTATGTATATTTTTACGTTGCATGGAAAAATTTTAAAGTCTTATATTTTGGTATTATATCCAAAGAAGTTTAAAAATAGTTTTACTAAATAAACAGTAAATTATCACATCTTCAGACATGTTTTATCTAATGAATTATTTACCAATATTGAATAAGCTACCGTTATTAAAAACCTATTAATAGATACACAATTTGAAAGGTTTCTAAAATAGCGAAATGACTTTATTAATTTTCTAGAAAAAATAATTATCTCTGACTTTTGTTGAATCTCAAATGAAGACCGATGTATTTATTGAAACGTTGACGTAGCTGATAAAATACGAATTTATATAAATCTAAAATAAACATTTATTCATTCAATATTACAGCACAAACTAACTTAATTTAGCCGACCAAGCTACTAAGTTAAATGTTCTGTTTAAGGAGTAATTAATTGAGGCAATCTAGAACATTTGTTTAATTTTACACTCGATAGCCACTGAAAAGCTTTCATTGTCAACAATACTACGTCACGCTGGAAATTAGTTAAGCTTGGTTACAATTATATTAAAGCACCGTCCGCACTCATCATAATCGATAAATAACGGTCTGTATCGTACCGATCAGTATCAGAAAAAAGTAATATCGTTACATATGTTTTATGCGACGATATACATAGCTGTGTTAATAATAATAATTCTTTATTTGGAACAAAAACATTGGTTACAATATTATTGAAAAACGATGATATCCGCAGAAGTATAAAACTGTGTCGCGAATATCAACGCCCTCCTCCTAATTGCAGGGTTCCAAAACAGACCAATTATAGCTGTCGATGACAGGAATATTCAGTCTTGTCACTGTCTTACTAATGCTCACCGTGATTTGACTTTAATTTTTAGCTAAGAACATTTTTACTGCCAGCATTAACATTAGAAAGAAATTGTTCGAAATATAATTTCATTAATGAGTGAAAGATTGAACCATATCTGTATAAAAGAGATATCCTATTTGGTCACCTATCTTTCTTCGTACATGCTAATACATCGGCTAAGGTCATGAATCGCGTTGGTATTTGAATAGAAATTATTAGTACAACTGCATTACAGACACGGTATCGATTGGTACGACACTGATTGCGACATGTTGTCAGTTCGGCACTGACCAGTGCGGATATGCCTTTTCAAAATTACTCAAATATATAAACTTTGCTAATTTCCACTAAAAAGACTACTTCGGTCATATATAGTTTACAGTTAGCTCGTAAGACTGGCAACGATTTTCAACGATCATTTAAACTTGTAACGTTAATAGATTAATAAAAATATTATATCAAACAATTTAACATTAAAAATTTGTTGTTTATTTTTACATTGTTTTAATCTTTCACTTTTAATATTTCACTTTGATCTTTTCAAATTATTTTTATTATCAAATTTAAAATACGTTAAAAGATTTACAATAATCGCAAGTACATTAAATAAAATAGTTTGTGTTGTAAATGAAAAATAATAGACATGTTACCAGTTTCCACTATGCATGTTACCAGTCTTACACTATACCTATACTCTTTTAACAAATTGTTGTTGTGTTATTTAAAACAAAAACAAAATGTTGTGATGTTACAATAGCATAGACATATTTTTTACTTGTATAGATAATAAATATCTCTATGATTTAAATATCTGTATTACTGATACATACCTATTATAAAAGGACTGATTTCTTTTATACCATAATAATTAAATGATAGAAACGAAAAACTCTCTCACATAGAAAACTTATATGTAAATCTAGTATTAGTGAGATATTCGAAATGTGTACGCATTATAGTTCATTAATTTAATATTAATATTTCGTCATAGTCGTAGAATACTGACGGATCTATATATGTAATATTTGTCAGATCCGTCAATATTCTACGACTATGACGATTTATTTACACTTACAATTTTTTAAAAGTTAAATTTTCCGTTCTAAAAATAATTGTTACGTTCCAAATACAAATATTTATGATTTTATTTTTACATTAAAGAAAATAAATTAAACTTTTCCAAAGGTAACGTAACATAAAATAAATAATGTAAATAGTATGTAAATATATAATATAATAGTTTTTATTATGAAACTTTTCCGAAAGGAATTAAGTAGTGATTATTAAGTAATATTAAATCGATATCAGGGTATCTCCCTTTATATAGAACTGGTGTTTTTTTATTGTTTCATGTTTATTTGTTATACCTATTATACTTATAATCTTTTAGTGGTTATTTATAACTAGTCATTTCTTTCTTGTGAGCTGAATAACCTCGTTTGAGTAATCTTTAAATTCATAAATGAAGTCTACTCCATGACGATGACGCTTTCAAGATTCGGGCTGGTTGTAAATCAGAACAAGTTATTTTATACAGAGGTAGTTGTAATACGTATACCAAACTGGAATTAAGTGGTGGATTTTTTTTATTCTACTATGGTAGCGAACAAGCATACGACCCTAGGATGGTAGCATATATGAAACTAAATAAATGCCCCTAACTAAATAACTTAACTAAATTCAGAACATCATAAAAAAACAACATATTGGCAGAGACAGCAAGAAAATAACATTTCAATTTATCATAAAAATCTAATCTAATCTAAATATCATAATAATTTTCGACTTGGGGTAAATTCTTCTTAAGTAAAGTTGTTCACTTTACGAGTACTGGATTTCGAGATATACCTATCACAACTGACTTATATATGTATATAGATGGAATATCTATTTATTAGATATCATATATTTTACAGAATATAAATAGTATTATTAATATTTTGACCTCAGACTAACATGAAGTGTAAACCTAACACTATAGAAACATAGACTGCAGCTATTATTTTGAACACGTGGGAGTTAGAAGGTGTTTTATTTCTAAAATATTGTTGATCAATCCTAATGAGGATCTTGAGTAACTACTCGATTTATTTAATTGATTTTGTATTTTTGGTCACCATGGCAACGCGTGTCTTTCTCAGTTGCCAGTATTATTATCTAATTATTAATCTAAATAATAAATAAACAACTATATATATATATATATATATATATATATATATATATATATATATATATATATATATATATATATATATATATAACGTTTGTATATATACGATTTGTATGTATACAACAACAATTGTAATAAATTATATCCAAGCAATTTTTATAATTTAACATGGCAAAGACACGATTTATCTTACGATTTTATCCTTACGATATAATAGAAGAGCTATTATATCGTGACGATACAATCGTGAGTTTAATATCTGTACAAATAGTATTTGAGATTAGAAAGAAAATGGTAAACTACTTTTTATCTCGATCTATTTTGTATCCCGGCGATGTGCACAAAGTCAAGTTAGCGTAACATTGTTTTCAACCGACGTAAAAAAGAAGGCAGTTCCCCAATTCGCTTGTATCTTTTTATGTTTGTTATCTTATAACTCCGTCAGTTATAATCCTATTTGAAAATTCTTTTTTATCTGAAAGGGTATACTTACAGCTTAGTCCCATAAAAATTTTATCAAAATCGGTTCAACAGTTTTATAATTTTAAATCAAAACAACTGAAATTGCCACAATTGCAGTCAGTTTTTTTATTAGTCAAAGCTGTCAATTTCCCCAAGAACCTACAGCATGGGGTTCTTCAAAAGGAGGGTAAATAGGTTTCTTCAGGGTCGGCAATGCACGCGCAATACCTCTGGTATTGCAGGAGTTCATAGGCTACGGTAACCACTTACCATCAGGTGGGCCATATGCCTGTTTGCCACCTCAGTGGTATAACAAAATCTCCGACAGCTATTTTGTTCACGCACGTTTTACACATGTTATACCTCTAAATTGGGCACTTTCAGGCATACTATTAGATCGCTACTCAGAACCTAGTGTTAACCGTTGGACACCCAAACTGTGAATATTTTTATAAATGTTCATATTTACATTACTAGCTGTAATATCAAGCTATACTCATGTGAAACATGATAATAAGTAGCCTAATTGATACACAGATTTCAAAAACACTCTGTTTGTGTATGGAATTTTATTTAAATTTGTTCAGCAATTACACTTGATAGAGTAACAAATATCCAAACATCTTTTTAAACTTTCACATTTATATATTAGTAAGGTCTTAAGTGCATATAATTAAAAAAATAATAATTAACGTATTAAGTGGGCGTTGCTATTTTTTGGTTTCCCATGATCTTAATAAATTAATTTCGTTTGACATACTATGTCACAACAAATTAAACATATATAATAATTACTTACGCAACCAGAACGGCTCCGAGAATGTTGAAGAAAGTGAGCATAAAAATAGGTAATTAATTTGTTTTTTAATGAAAACAAAATATGATTTATTTTGCTGGAGCGAGACTGTAGAAAATTCACCTGCTTGAGTGTTTCCATTTCACTCTCGTTCCTGCTATTAAACGGCTGTGCTTGGCTGTGTTTCAGTCTAAAGAGTGAAATTTGGCGGTGAAATTATAAAGAACAGAGGTATAACATTACAGTCCCATGGAACAAGTGCACGCAAGAGTATCATAATTGTCATAGTATTCATCATCATCATTTCAGCCATTATTTGTCCACTGCTGGACATAGGTCTCTCCCATAGGCTGCCATAAGGAACGGTCCTGAACCACCTGCATCTAATACCTCCCGCAATACATTTGAGGTCGTCAATCCATCTAATTAGGGGTCGGCCTACACTGCGTTTGCTCGTACGGGGTCACCAGTCAAGAATCTTTGTTCCCCATTGATTGTCTGTTCTTCGAGCTGTGTGACCAGCAACAGTATTATATAGTGTTTATAGTTAAGGATGGTTACGGATCAGTAGCTTTTCTGAATTTCCATGTTGCATAAAAAATATGCAATAGAGAGCCCCTTCTTATCCCATGGGTGTCATAACAAGCGATTAAGGCGATTTAATGGTCGAGAAATTAGCAGCTGCGTTCTTCTTAAAACACCACCAAAACGTAACTGCGGTTGCTATCCTGCCTGCTAAGCGTGGCAACTATTGGCGAAACCTCTTTTATAGGTAAGGCCTATGTCCATCAGTGGATAGTTAACTGCTGATATAGGATAATATAATAATAAAAAATATATGTATTTATTGATGTTAAAAGTCTAAAGAAGGTCGAGTGTCAAAAAATGGGTCAACATTTAGTCAACTAAATAGACATTTGGCTAACTGATTTTTGAGACATATTTATTTTTTAAATCGTAAGAAAAAGTGCTAGTTTTTCAATTTATTTCAATAAATTTCCTAGATCAGCTAGATTTTGAAAATGAAAAATATTTAAGAATGTATTTGCATATTACAAACTCTGCTATTTAGGTAAATACCTAAAAATTAAAAATAAATAAATACCTATTTTATTTACTTTTATATTAAAAGCACTTATTATAAAACTCTGATAAATACTCTATTTATGGACTTCAGTCCATAATTATTAATTATTTTTAAATAATTACCAGGTTTTTCGACTCGAATGTAGGCACTGTGCCAAAAAAAAAAAAATTATTTCAGCAATAATTTGCAAGAAAATTAATTTGATCCAAACAAGATTAATTATGAAAAGTACAAAGATATCGCCCCAGTAACTACCGGCAGAGATACTTTATGAAAATTTGATATTGATTCATGAATTTCTGTAAGAGACATTTAATATTTGATCTTGTAAATTACGATTGACTTGTTATTTAGTTTATATCAACTATATATCAAATATATATATTATTTCAACTTGATATTGATTTTTTTAAAAAACTAATCTGTTGTTATAATAAAATGTTCATCTAATCATGATGATGATGATGATGATATCAACTATTAATAGTCCACATCTGAACATAAGTCTCCCTCTATTGGGGAATTTGCAGGCAGGGTTGACAACCGCAGCTAGGTTTTGGTGATATTTTAAGAGGTACACTGCTGCTTATTCCCTTAGTCACCTCTTACGACACCCACGAAAAAGGAAAGTGTGGCCTATTCTATGCCAGGACCACACGGTTTGTTCGCTTGCTTCGCTAAAATACTAAACTCGATTATTTGTTAAAAAAAAAGGAAATTATATATTTGGTCACACATTGCGTTATTACGTTCCATTGGTACAGTTTTAATATTAATTCAATCATTAAATGTAATTACTATTGTATCAACTATCTATACAGAAACTGTAATATCTCACCAGCTCCTATGATATCTTTAATTTAATTCAAACTAATTAATAACCATGAAACAATATTTAAAACACCATTATAGGGAAAATTACACATAATAACACTATCTTTTTTAAGAATCCTGAAATTTATTTTTTCCACATTAGAAATAAATTGTTTGATGTAAATCCAATATTTTAATTAACAGTATAAGTTTCATGATCCAAGCAGAAATAACGCTTTTAGCATCAGCGATCAAAGATTTAATTATTGCCACATGTTTTCGCTATTTGGAATCAAAATCGCACGGGTTAGCGGCTGCTTTTAAATTTCATAGCATATTGGAGATTAGCTGCTTCAATCTTCCGAAAAGAAAGTAAATCGTTAAATTCGATATTAAAAGTAACGATACTTATCTGTTAAGGCGATTTGGTATCAAATAAATAAAGTTAGCGGTTGCTTTTAAATTTCATAGCATTTTGGGGATTAGCTGCGATATTTTGAAAAGCAACTAAATCGTCGGTCATCGAAATAAAAGTATCGTCTCTTTTAAGGTATCTTAACTTTGGCATTTAATCTTAACTTTGGCATTTAATCACACAAGTTAGCGGTTTGTTTTAAATTTCATATCATTTGGGAGATTTGCTTCTTCAACCTTCCAAATAGCAACCAAAAT